ATGACCTCTGGCGCTGAGAGTGAAGGACTGGCCCAAAGTCATCCAGGGAGCTTCCATGGCAGAGTGAGGAATTCAGACCCGGCTCTCCCAGGGCCTTCTCCTCCTGATTTCCTCCCCCCAAGTAAGGTCCCATTCTGGTGAAGCGGAGGGCCACTCTTGTTTCTTTTTTCCTTTGAAACGTTTTGATTCCTAAGGAGTTAGAACATCAGTGATAGCTTGCCATTTTAAAATTATTACTCTCTTTCTCACAGACGTAGGGCCGGGGTCTTCTTATACAAGACTGTGCCCTTGGGCTAAGCGCAGCCATCCAGTCTGGGCTTCCCAAGTTAGCTTCGTCTTTGTCTCCAAGTGGCAGGGGAGAGGCTGGTGCCAGCTCAAATGTGCAGGAGGAGATCACTGGGGGAAAGGCTGCTGTTGCACATGGACAGGCCTGCTCAGCCCTGCCCCTAGCAGGGAAGCAGCAGCGAGTCTGTTCGCCTGGCTTGGGCAGAGCACTTGCTCCGTGGTGCAGTGAAGGACAGGACTGCATCAATGATGCTTTTTAAAGCCACCTGCGGGCCTTCTGAAAAATTAGTTCATGTTGTGGAACTTAGTATATTGTCAACGAAGCTGCGGCGGGAGCAAAAGAGGTAGAAGGGTATGCTTTGGGGGAGTACCCCTTGCTACCCCGTGGAGACATCTCTGAGCATGGGGATAGGGTGGCCAGCTCTGGGTTGGGAAATACCTGGAGATTTTGGGGGTGGAGCCTGGTGAGGGCGGGGTCTGGGGAGGGGAGGGAGCCTAGGCATGGCACAATGCCATAGAGTCCACCCTCCAAAGCAGCCATTTTCTCCAGGAGTCTGGAGACTGAAAAAGCAGATCTCCAGGGCCCACCTGGAGATTGGCAACTGGAATAAACTAGGGCTGAGGATAGCCTAGGCTGATCCTGCATTGAGCAGGAGGTTGGACTAGATGGCCTGTATGGCCGCTTCCAACTCTGTGATTCTGTGATTGCGCAGGTGTGATTTTCAGTTCAGGAGTTCTGCTCTGGTGATCATCCACTGAATTTCACAGAACTCTGAGGAACACAGACCCAAGGAGAGACCATGGAGATGGGCGGGGGGTCCTGAGTCCCATGGATGAACATTTCCATGGCATCAAGAATCAGAGAGCTGAAGAAAAACACCAGGCTCTGTTGCAATATTCATAGAAAGAGCACCCTGTGTAACGTGCTGCATACTTTTAAATGCCCTTTAGCACACCAAGAGCTCAATTGGAAGGAGGTTCTTGTTTTTTGTCCTATGACGTAGAACAGCACAGTCATACAGTTTTTCAACATAGGTGCAAAAGGTGGGCTCTTTCTATTAACTTTTTCATTTTTCTACCTATGTTGATACTCGTGGGCACTGTTCCCTCTAAGCTGAGTTAGTGTGAGCTAGCTCACAGTTTTTTAGCTTCCGGCTCACACATTTTTGTCTTAGCTCAGGAAGGAGGGCTCCAGAGCAAACTAATTTATGCAGTAGCCAAATCGCTCACTCACAACTTTAATGCCAGGAGCTCACAAAGTAGAATTTTTGCTCACAAGACCCCACAGCTTAGAGGGAACACAGCTTGTGGCTGTGCTTGACCTGGAATCCCTGATTTTATGGGTCACAAAAGAGCACACCTGCAGGACTGAGGGGGGGAAAACACATTCTCTGTAGTGCTTATTGTTCCTTGGACATTGCGGGGGAAATTAGGAAAACAGCCCCCAAAGTGTGAACCCCTCTTGTACTGCTAATGCTTATCAGTCTGAAGAGTAGCTGGAGGGCAGAGGGCCACAAAAATTGAGTCATGAAAGCCATCCTATTACAATGTTGTAATAATTTAATAAGGGTTTTGTGACCACTTAATAAGAAGAAAATGCTGTCTTACCCAATGGTTGTAAGGATTACTGGTTAGAGTGCTAGACTGTGAGACCTAGGTTCAAATCCCTGCCTACCGTGGAGACTTGTTGTGTGATTTTGGGCTGGTCACTCACTCTCAGCCTGGCCTACCCCACAGGGTGGTTGTTGGGGGTATAAAATCGAGGAGGGGAGAATGATGTAAATGGTTTTGGATTCCCACAGGGTTGAAAAGCAGGCTATAAGTAAGTAATAAAGTCAGTTTCACATAGAGTAGTCACATTGTTATTGCACTTTATTCATAAAAGTGACACAATATTATCTTTGGCAGTTTCCTTTGGAGGGAGCTTTCTAGTATTAGCTCCAGGGCATGTGTCAGGGACCAAGCTGCCCATAATTACATGTTTTGTGGCATAACAATTATTGGTGAGCTTAGGCGGAATGGCTTACCTTCACCACTGAGGGGAAAGAGGATCACACAACTGGGATTAGTGACAATGACTTCCAGTGCAGGAAGGAGGATGGACTCCCCTCTCAGTACTTTTCATTTTAGACATTAAACACTGCTAGCTGTATGGATTGTTTAGCTGCTGGTGGTTCCAGACCTGCTTACTGCATGCCTACTAAGGTTTCCCAGTTCCCCTGGAGATCTTGAGCAGAAGGGGTCAGAATCTGTGTGCCATAGGCCTGAAGGATATGTGATGAAGCATGGTGGGTTAGAGGTCAAAGCCAGAATGTTATAGTGGTTAGACCGGGGAGACCCAGCCACAACCAACCATGACCATTACAGGTAATCTTGGATCCAGTCACTTTCTTTCAAGCTCACCTTCCTTGCAGGATTGTTGTGATGATAAGCTGAAGAGAAAATGTGCTTCCCTGAGCTCCTTGGAGGAAGACCAGTGTAAGAATAGGATCAGTAGTCTATAGCTTCTTACTGAAGGAAGAGTCAGAGAAAAATCTTGTCTGATAAGTCATGGCAAAGCCTGATAAGGGCTATCAGGCAGGGAACCAAGATCAGCTGTGGCTGGTTGCTTGTTCACACATTACATCTTTAGGCCTAAAAACGTGGTTTGAATGTAAAAAATCAAACACATGGATCTAGCAGATACATTTGTTGGAAGCTGCAGTTGACTAAGGAGTACAGCTAATCTAGGTCTGCTGCTTTGTAGTTTATGAAATGACTCTCACTGTTGAGTATACACCCGGTGGCAAAACCCTGGCTTGCTGGCCCCAGAAGTGTGTGGGGTGGGGGGACTAGTATTCAGGGGAAGGCTGGGGAAAAGGTTCCTCATTGCGGGCAGAGTGTGCTCTGTAACCCCAAAGCCTGAACACTGCATTGCTTGGTTATATGGAAGAGACAATTTAACTAAGCATTTTGCTCAAGGGGGTCAAGATGGCTCTCATGCTCCTGTGAAATTTGCTTTTATAGAACCATAAAATCACGGAAGGGGCCATACAGGCAATCTAGTCCAACTCCCTGCTCAATGCAGGATCAGCCTAGAGCAGTGATGGCGAACCTATGGCACGGGTGCCAGAGGTGGCACTCAGAGCCCTCTCTGTGGGCACGCGTGCCATCGCCCCAGCCAGGCCCAGACCATTATTAAAGTGTCGAATTCTCTGCCAAATAATTTTAAGTAAATGAAAGCATTTGGGATTGTTTTCCTTACTTTGTTTGGATCATCTTAAGTTAATGTGTGAGTTGTTTTTTCTAAAGTAAAACCTCAGTATTCAGGTTAAATTGCCGTGTTGACACTTTGCGATAAATAAGTGGGTTTTGGGTCGCAGTTTGGGCACTCGGTCTCTAAAAGGTTCGCCATCACTGGCCTAGAGCATCCCTGACAAGGGTTTGTCCAGCTGCTGCTTAAAGACCACTTAAAGATTTCTGTATAAAATTTATGAAAGAGAACCTTCCGGTGGACTTTGTTCTTTGCTGGCAGCTAGGGAACTTGGGATCGGCTGTAGCTTTATTTTTAAAAGTCATTAAAAAGTAGTGCCATTTACATCTTTCCCCAACTTGTGGTTAGTGTAGTGTAGTCAAACCTTTGCTCAGCAAGGAACTAGGTAACAAAAGCTAGCATCTCAGCCTCAGTCCTCATCTATAAAATAGGGATACTTCTGTTTGTACCCCTCTGGGGTCTTAAGAGAACAAACAGGTATACATCATAAAGTACTTCAATAAACAAGTGTTGGGAATATTAGTGTTGTAATTCTGTCCCGATGGAGCCAACTTCCAGGAAGCATATTTTGGGCATAAATTTGGAAGAGCAGGGGGGGGATAGGCACAGACAGGAGCTGAAGGTTGCTTGGGAGCTTTATGCCCTAATTTCAGACATGCCAAGGATGGCTTGCTGCTTCTGAGGGGTATGGGACAATTTGCTTTCTACATTCTCAAAGTGTGGGAGCCAACATGCATCGGGATTTGAGCCTTGGCCAAGGGACAATCAGTTTCAAATCTCAGCTCTGCTCTGGAAGCTTCCTGGGTAACCATGGGCCACTCACATACTCTCAGCCTAACCTAGTTCACTGCCTATAAACCCTGTCTATACATTTAGAACCTCATCTGCCATTCCAACGTATTTGAAAAAGTGTGCCTTGCACACAAAAGCTCATATCTTGAATGAACCTTTGTTGGTCTTAAAGGTGCCATTGGACTCTGAATTTGTTCTACTGCTTCAGACCAACATGGCTGACCACCTGGATGTAGTTCACAGAATTGTTGTTGTGAGGATAAAATGGTGAGGAGAATGATATAAGATGCTTTGGGTCCTTATTAGGGAGATAGGTGAGGTACTCCTTTTAATTCTGCACAATTCCAAGGCTGAGCCTGGGCACTGAAAATGAGTTCCGGGGGCTAGATCTCTGTAAACCCTGTCTCACTGAAACCCTATTCCCATTTAACCTTAGAATCGTCTGATTTGTATTCATACAAAAGAAAAAGTCACATTAGTCACAAAAAATTAAGAAAGCATTAAAGACTCTGCAAAATCTAATTTTTGGTCATTTAAGTAAAGCATTTCAAGCCAAGAACATTTATGTCATCCTTATAATTTATTTGCTGTGTAGATTAGCATATTAATAAATTAATGCCAGCATAACTACAGCATCATCATAAAAAAACATCAAATAGCTAGTTGCCTTGTTAAATTCATTACAAAAATTGTAACTGTGGCCAAAAATAAAATGGTATGGATGCTTATAGGAACCAAAGTATCCTAGCGAAACCTTCACAGTTCAGTCAGGTCCCCCAAAGTTTGTGCAACAAGTTCAAGGATCCACTTCCGCTGGGCAACAGTGAGCAAGGATCCCTTGACGAGGCTTCAAAAGAAAGTTCATCTCCTGAGGCATGGTGCAGATTCCACACCTGGACGGTGCGCCGTTCCATGCATTTTAGACTAAGGCAGACAGACAGTTATTGCTGATCTCTTTCTAATCCCTTTCATTCCAGCAGACAACTGTGAGATTTAGGAAAGGCTTTACACATTCAATAAACAAGTGTCAGGAAAGATTGTCAAACAGTCAGTTAAGGAGAAGAATGATCTCATCGCTGGTTGGCCCCAGCTGCCTGGGAAAAGCTGAGTCCAGCTTGGTGGCTGCCCCCACTTCATTCCAGTGACTCGGGCCTCGGGGGACTGCCCAGATTGGCTCCTTTTGTTCTCTCGCTCTTTTACAATGTGCAAGTTTGAGTCCTCCAAGCAAGCTTTTTGCTGTCGACTCTGACGTGTGCAAAATGAGACCCATGACCGTCTTTCCCAGCTTTACACGTCTGGTCAGTTTCAGAGTGGCTGGAAAGGATGGAGCTGGCCGATGCGCTGCGAATTCTTTTCTGTTCGTTCCCGCCCTCGGTGAAGTCCTCAGTGGACTTGAATGGAGTGTTTCCCAAACTTCAGGAACTGGAAGAGTTTGTCCCTCGTCCTCTGCTTCAGAGCCATCAGCGCCCGGGCTTTCTCCTCCAGGTCCTGGTCTGTGGCGAGGATGATTTTGGCCCTCTCCTCGGCTTTCTTGTCGCCGGAGTTCTTAAAGAGCTTCTGGAGCGCCTCCTGGTCCAGGCTCTCGAAGATGTTGGCCGCCGCTTTCTTGCGCGAGGCCGTGTCGAAGCGGTAGCCGTGGACGGAAGGGCTCACCCTCAGCGAGGTCGACATGCTGCTGCTGGCCGCCTGGCTGCTCGCCCTCGCTTTCATCGACGTCCGGTGCGGCGGGCGGAGGAGGCTCGGCGGTGCTTTGCCCAGGGCTCGCTCTGGCGCGGCAGGGACTCCCGGGCCGGGCTATTTAAAGGCCACTCCGAGCCAAAGCCCAAGGCTCAAGTTACAGCGGTGACATCAGACTGCGCGCGGCGCCCGGAGCCAACAGGCTGGCTTAACAGTTCAATTGCCAGGAGGAGGAAAGCACATTGCAAAGGAATCCCGTTACTCATTCGTAGGAGTTTGTTTGGGAGCGGAGGTCTGGGGGAACTGACTTCTTTTCTCTTGTTCTGACTATTCACTGTGGAGGCGCTGAACAGAGGCACACACGGGGCTCGAGAATGGAGAAGGTTGTACAAATTAAGTGAGATCCACTTGGTCAGCCGTGTTGGTCTGAAGCAGTACAACAAATGTAGAGTCCAGTGGCACCTTTAAGACCAACAAAGGTTTATTCAAGGTCTGAGCTTTCCTGTGCGCACACACTTTATCAAATAGGTTAGAATGGCAGGAAAGGTGCAAACTTAATAGCCAGAGAATGAACAGCAAATTAACATGCAACATGATGATGATCAAGATATGCACAGTGACACTAAATAACAAGTTAAGGTTATAGGGTCAAATTCGGGTCAGGGACCAGAGCCTCGAAACAACCCCACCACCACCACTCTTTTTTTCTGAACACAAAAATTGCAAAGTATACTGTTACATTATTTATTTTATTTATTTATTTATCTTTCCATTTCTATACCGCTCATGACCCCTAATGGGTCTCAGAGCGGTTTACAAGGACTACATATATATATTTATGTAGTTAATACCTAACTAGGGGCACAATCTTTCGGGGGGGGGGGAAGCCCTAACGGCACCCATGCGGCATGGTCTTGTCCTCTTCTCACCGGTGGACCTCATTGTTCCAGGCGACTGATGACCAATCTTCAGGCGGGCTCTTGATGACGTCTTCGGAGTGCGCTGCTTCGGGGCGTAACCTACGGCTGTACGTCCTGTCAGCTCCTGTCGTGGTGCGTCACGTCATCACTCCGGCTCTGGCTCCGCCTCCGCTTAATCTGGTCGCCGTCTTTCCTTGGATCTCTCGGATGTTCCATCCGCCATTTTTCTATAATCCTGTGGTAAGCGTTGTCTGTGTATACAGAAAATCTCATGGCAGATATCACTCTCATCACATGTGATGTACAGAATAGCTGTGTGGTGTAGCGGATAGAGGGTCAGAGTAGGATCTGGGAGACCCAGGTTCAAATCCCACCTCTGCCGTGGAAACTTGCTGGGTGTCTTTGGGCCAGTCACATGCTCTTAGTCTTAGGCCGCGGTCACACATACTAAATAATCCATTTTCAACGCACTTTCCAACTGGATTTTGCCAGTTCACACAGTAAAAATCCAGTTGGAAAGTGCACTGAAAATGGATTGAATGTGGATTATTTAGCATGTGGGACTGCAGCCTTAACCTAACCTACCTCACAAGGTTGTTGTGATGATAAAACAGAGAAGGGGAGAATGTTGTAAAACCCTTTGGGTCTCCACTGGGGAGGAAAGTGGGGCATAAACAAAGTCAAAATAATAAATGTGATAAAATATACAGTGTAAAACTAACCACGTGTGCCTTATATATATGTACAGTTTCAACATTCAGAATTCCATTTTAATTTCCTGGGTTCCTTCTCATCAACAGCTTCATGCTTCAACATTAAAGGAGGCAACACTTTTTAGGAAAATGGATTCCCTTCTGTCACCACCATGAAGTTTTGCGGGTGACCATGATGAGACAGTCCTCCCCTGAGCCTCACCTCCTTCAAAGGACTGTGGTAAGGATAAGTAGGCAAGAGGAAGGACGTAATAAAATAAAAATTCACATGGGCATATTTCTTAGGACGCCGCTAAAGCAGCCGTTCACAAGGAACGCTGGGCTACCTAAGCGAGGTTCAGGGAGCAGACCCTGCTGTAAACCCAGGTGTCTACTCTGATCCTATAGTCATTCAAGCAACATTGTTTTAGGACCTAATAAGATCTGCCCTGGGCAACAAGGTTCCTTCACTTGTTTTGCCTCCAGTATGCCATCCCCTGCCAAAAGTGCCCTCCTGCTGTCTATGCAAGAAAAACAGGCCAGTCTCTGTGCAAAATAAATAAATAAACAGACATCATCTGACTTGAAATGTCTGACAAAAAGTCATGAAAGGGGAAATACTCAGAAATCAGTGGGAGCACATTTCATCCTCCTGGGGAAGCTGTTGCGAACCTAAAAGCCACCAATAACAGTTTCAAAGGCTGAAGTCAACATGCAGGGCTGGTTCTCTCCAGATGGCTCCCAAACAACCATTTGGGGTCTACCTGGAGCATGCTGAGATGGCTTTTCTATCACCACTACTGACAACTCCTCTATGCTTAGCTTACAGGTGCAGGGAAAAGCCCCATTTTTTTGCACTCCTCCCCCCGGTCAAGTTGCAGCCAATTTATGGGGACCCCATAGGGCTTTTAAGAGAAGAGACGTTCAAAGGTGGTTTCCCATCACCTGGCTCTGCATAGCACCCTTGGAATTCCTTGGTGGTCTCCCATTCAAAGACTACCCAGGGCCAACCCTGCTTAGCTTCCAAGATCTGATGAGATCATGCTAGCCTGGGCTATCCAGAACAGGATTGTTGTGCTCTACAGGTATCTAAGATAACTAAAGTCCTGTACAAGCTTCACAAAAGCCAGCCTTTTGCAGTATGTAAACCCTTCTAATCTGAAGCCACAGAGCTTATATTGTCACAGCCTTTCCACTCATAATTGTTGATCACATAACTATATGTTACCGAGGCATGCAAAGAAACGGGTGTAAAATATTTTTGAATTGAATGTACTTATTACTTCCCTCCTGTGAAATTTCCCCTCAGAAGCTTCCACATCAAATGCCAGTCAAAGGCTGCTCCTTCTCCAAAGCAAGCCAGGAGCTGCACAGAAAGCTTCCAAGGATGGGAAATGGAGGAGAGTGGGAGTCTGGATAAGGAAAGGGCTTTCCGTGACCTACACGTATTTTATTCATAAGGCATCAAAATCAACCCTAGGGTGAAAAAATGTAATCCTTGCATTTCTCTGGTAAGTTTTTTTTTAAACACATGCTTGTTTCTTAAGTAAGTAGCTACACGTGGCCCATGGGGTTGCGAAGAGTCGGTCTCGACTGTGACTGAACAACAAAAAGCTACATGTGGCAAAGAGCCACATCAGTATCTGGACTTTTGTTCAGACCCCAGTATCACTAAGATCACCCCTGAAAGTGGGGGGGGGGGAGGAGACTGCAAGCTCCTGGGTGAAAACCTGGTGAGGTCTTGGCAGAAATGAAATATTTTTTTCCTGGAGACAAATTCCAGAGGGATAGGTTGTAGCAAAACCAAAAAGAATCTTTGGCTGCCTTAAAGCCTTATAGATATATTGTAGCTTCATGGCTATAACCTGTTTCATCAGTTGCATGAACTCAAACTTTCATTGCAATCCTAAACAGTTACACCCTTCTAAGCCACTGGAACTTAATGGGCTTAGATGGCTGTAACTCTGCTTCAGAATGTACTGTTGGTCAGCCAATATAGCTGACACATGGATATAGAAGGGCAAAATTATGAACAGTGGGGTTAATACCAAGATATTCAATACCAGAGGGCTCTTTTTGGTTTTTGTAATGCAACTGGGTACCATACTATCTCCAAGCAGAAGACTGGGGGGGAGGGGGGATATGAGGGAGACCATCAGCAACAGTGTGACATCACTTCCCAGAAAAAAAACGGAAGTGATGTCACACCTTTCTAGAAAGGGGGGGGGGGGGAAGGAGACTGCAAGCTCCTGGGTGAAAACCTGGTGAGGTCTTGGCAGAAATGAAATATTTTTTTCCTGGAGACAAATTCCAGAGGGATAGGTTGTAGCAAAACCAAAAAGAATCTTTGGCTGCCTTAAAGCCTTATAGATATATTGTAGCTTCATGGCTATAACCTGTTTCATCAGTTGCATGAACTCAAACTTTCATTGCAATCCTAAACAGTTACACCCTTCTAAGCCACTGGAACTTAATGGGCTTAGATGGCTGTAACTCTGCTTCAGAATGTACTGTTGGTCAGCCAATATAGCTGACACATGGATATAGAAGGGCAAAATTATGAACAGTGGGGTTAATACCAAGATATTCAATACCAGAGGGCTCTTTTTGGTTTTTGTAATGCAACTGGGTACCATACTATCTCCAAGCAGAAGACTGGGGGGGAGGGGGGATATGAGGGAGACCATCAGCAACAGTGTGACATCACTTCCCAGAAAAAAAACGGAAGTGATGTCACACCTTTCTAGGGAACACTGGAAGGTTTATGATAAAACCATAGAGTTTCCAGGGACTCCTGGACAGGGCTGATATCACTTCCGGGTTTTCCCCAGAAATGATGTCACGCTTGGTGATGTTTTTAGAGTAGTTTTCTTCCATCAGCCATGGCAGAACATAGGAGCCGGGGGGGGGGGGGGGGCGCAGACCTGGAAGTCTTCAACACATACATTTTATCTCACCCTTTCTCCAAAGATCAGGTTGTGATATATGATTCTCCCTTTCCCCGATGTTATCCTTGCAACAGTCACAAGAAATGGGGGGGGGCCCCTGAGGGGCCCTGAGGGAGTGATTAGCCCAAGGATACCCAGTAAGCTTCATGGTTTGACCCAGGATGGTAGAAGTCTGACTAACCACTTCTCTCAATTTAGCTACAGATAATAAATCCAGAATCAGCCTCTAGATCGCATTCCAGATTTTGAATTACTTGTTTTAAGTATAACATTCAGTTTATGTTTAGGCCTGCTAAGTAGTTGGTTTCTGAGGCTGCTTTGCAAAACATTTTTGATCTTTGGACCCTGCCTTAAGACAGGTGCCATTTCGCTCCGAAAAAAATTGCAAATATGAACCAGAATATGTCAAACAAATGTTGGAAATGTAAGAGTCATGAGGGCTCATTTTACCATATGTGGTGGACTTGCGAGAAAGCTGTAGACTTTTGGACAAAAGTCCACAAAGAAATGCAAAAAATATTG